GTTAATTTTAAGGATTCTATAAAAGACATCACATGCATCATTTTCAATCCACCATCAATATAGTCTCTTATAACAATGTCTCTTTTGGTTTTGTCAACTTTGCTTTTCCATAAGAAGTTAAATAGTTCGGTGTTTAATTTTTTAATAAAACATTCATTTGGGTTTGGTAATGCAATAAATAAGTGATTGAGTTGTGAGATGAGTATTGATTTGATGATAAAAATTCTACCAATTGGTGTAATTATTCTCCTATTCCATGTATTTATAAGTGCCTTTATTTTTACTAACTTTTTATCATAATTCAGCCTAGTAATTTTATGCAAGTCTACATGAAATTCTATCCCCAAAAGATTAAAAGTTTTATTTCCCCACTGTAATTTCCATTCTGGATAAAGAACTTCCTCACTATGCTTTTTACTTCCTATCCATATTACCTGAGATTTTGATTTATTTATTTTCAACCCAGAAATTTTTGCAAAATTATTTAATTCACCAACTGCTTCTTTTAGGGAAATGTTTGTACCATCTAAAATCAACGAGGTATCATCAGCATACTGTGATACTAAAATAGGACAGTCATTTATATTGATACCCCTTACTTTTTTATTGTTTCTAATTCTTATCGCTAATATCTCTGCACACATTATAAATATATATGGTGCAATAGGGTCTCCTTGACGACAGCCTTTTCTTATTTCAAAAAATTCTGATAAATTTCCCCCCTGATTTATTGAAGAAACTGCATTTTTATGTAAAACTTTTATCCATTTTCTAACCTCTTCCCCAAATTTAAAATAGTTTAGTACTTCATCAATGAATTTCCAAGATACAGAATCGAAAGCTTTCTCAAAATCAATAATCAATAGCATCCCTGGTATATCATTTCTCTCTGCGAAATCCATAATATCGTATATCAACCTGTTTAAAATACTTGGTGATGATATGAGTGAGTCATTAATCCGTCGTTCTGGTGTCTGTCTAGGCGTTTGGAATACATCTGGATGACCCTAACGAGAACCATGACCACGGAGAAGGCATTTTTGTTGAGCCGTATGTTTGGTATGCCCTGGCGTCCGTAGCGGGTAAGTCACTACACAAGAAATCAGGTGTAAACTGACATTTAAGTAATGTAATCACCATTTGATGACTATCTGGAGATGAGTAACTGACATCTTCAGACAATACAAACTGTTCTCCGTATTCCTCTTTCTTAAATAAATCGTGCACTCTCACGCCCTCTCCGATCGTTCTTATAATGGAAATCCTATCATAGTATATAACCTAATATTGTTTGTAACACGCTTTTACCTTGGTTTGTTTTGATAGTCTATCAAGTGATAGACAGAAATAATAAGAGCACATATTTTGATGTCGTTTTCCACAAAGTGCTACAAAAGACGTTGTCATCTGTCAAACTGTATTGATCTTCTACAACAATGTATTTTGAAGTTAAAATCCGAGCTTTTTACATTTTAGAACAGCTGATACTGAAATATTTCCGACGATTAGGAAAGTTTATTATAGACAATTCATTACGGTATGAGCATCATCAGTTGATATAGTATGAATGTGTGCGTACACTAGTCCGGTTTGACTTGATTGGCTTGTCGTAGCATCGACACATACTTATCAAATACTACATTTTATTGATTAACCGACAAATCACTATGCAAATCATAAATGATACAACCAATTATCGTAAATAGAAATTGACACATATTTCATGTAGAAGTTTTCATCCCTAGCTTTAAAAGTAATTAATCTAAAAGGATAGGACAAGATACTTCATTGGTCTACCAATGTATAAGCCGCAAATCGAAGTCCACTTATAAATAAATGCAGTTTGTTCTGTGTGCATTTCGTTTTTTTACACCGATTTACAAATGCTTTATCTAATCCAAGCCTTAAATCTATTATTTACCATATATCCTGTCAAACTAGTAACAAAGTAACTACAAACGAGAACAGGTAAGTAACTACGTATGATATTAGGTTAGTAACTACAAACAAGAACAGGTAAGTAACTACGTACGATATTAAGTTAGTAACTACAAACGAGAACAGGTAAGTAACTACGTATGATATTAGGTTAGTAGCTACAAACAAGAACAGGTAAGTAACTACGTGCTATATTAGGTTAGTAACAACAAACAAGAACAGGTAAGTAACTACCAACGAAAACAGGTAAGTAACTACAAACGAGAACAGGTAAGTAACTACGTTCGATATTAAGTTAGTACCTACAACCAATGTATAAGCCGCAAATCGAAGTCCACTTATAAATAAATGCAGTTTGTGCTGTGTGCATTTCGGTTTTTTACACCGATTTACAAATGCTTTATCTAATCCAAGCCTTAAATCTATTATTTACCATATATCCTGTCAAACTAGTAACAAAGTAACTACAAACGAGAACAGGTAAGTAACTACGTACGATATTAGATTAGTAACAACAAACAAGAACAGGTAAGTAACTACGTACGATATTAAGTTAGTAACTACAAACGAGAACAGGTAAGTAACTACGTATGATATTAGGTTAGTAGCTACAAACAAGAACAGGTAAGTAACTACGTGCGATATTAGGTTAGTAACTACAAACGAGAACAGGTAAGTAACTACCAACGAGAACAGGTAAGTAACTACAAACGGGAACAGGTAAGTAACTACGTACGATATTAGGTTAGTGACTACAAACAAGAACAGGTAAGTAACTACGTACGATATTAGCTTACTAACAACAACCACGAACAGGTAAGTAACTACGTACGATATTAAGTTAGTAACTACAAACGAGAACAGGTAAGTAACTACATACGATATTAGGTGAGTAAATACGTATGATATTAGGTTAGTAACTACAAACAAGAGCAGGTAAGTAACTACGTACGATATTAGGTGAGTAACTAAAAACAAGAACAGGTAAGTAACTACAAACGAGAATAGGTAAGTAACTACAAACAATAACATCTAAGTAACTACGTACGATATTAGGTGAGTAACTACAAACAAGAACAGGTAAGTAACTACAAACGAGAATAGGTAAGTAACTACAAACAATAACATCTAAGGAACTACGTACGATATTAGGTTAGTAACTACAAACAAGAGCAGGTAAGTAACTACGTACGATATTAGGTGAGTAACTAAAAACAAGAACAGGTAAGTAACTACAAACGAGAATAGGTAAGTAACTACAAACAATAACATCTAAGTAACTACGTACGATATTAGGTGAGTAACTACAAACAAGAACAGGTAAGTAACTACGCGCGATATTAGGTTAGTAACAACAAACAAGAACAGGTAAGTAACTACGTGCGATATTATGTTAGTAACAACAAACAAGAACAGGTAGGTAACTACGTGCGATGTTAAGTTAGTAACAACAAACAAGAACAGGTAAGCAACTACAAACGAGAACAGGGAAGTAACTACAAACGAGAACAGGTAAGTAACTACGTACGATATTAGGTTAGTGACTACAAACGAGAACAGGTAAGTAACTACGTACGATATTAGGTTAGTGACTACAAACGAGAACAGGTAAGTAACTACGTGCGATATTAGGTTAGTAACAACAAACAAAAACAGGTAAGTAACTACCAACGAGAACAGGTAAGTAACTACAAACGGGAACAGGTAAGTAACTACGTACGATATTAGGTTAGTGACTACAAACGAGAACAGGTAAGTAACTACGTGCGATATTAGGTTAGTAACTACAAACGAGAACAGGTAAGTAACTACGTGCGATATTAGGTTAGTAACAACAAACAAAAACAGGTAAGTAACTACCAACGAGAACAGGTAAGTAACTACAAACGGGAACAGGTAAGTAACTACGTACGATATTAGGTTAGTGACTACAAACAAGAACAGGTAAGTAACTACGTACGATATTAGATTAGTAACAACAAACAAGAACAGGTAAGTAACTACGTACGATATTAGCTTACTAACAACAACCACGAACAGGTAAGTAACTACGTACGATATTAAGTTTGTAACAACAAACAAGAACAGGTAAGTAACTACGTACGATATTAGCTTACTAACAACAACCACGAACAGGTAAGTAACTACGTACGATATTAAGTTAGTAACTACAAACAAGAACAGGTAAGTAACTACGTGCGATATTATGTTAGTAACAACAAACAAGAACAGGTAGGTAACTACGTGCGATGTTAAGTTAGTAACAACAAACAAGAACAGGTAAGCAACTACAAACGAGAACAGGTAAGTAACTACATACGATATTAGGTGAGTAAATACGTACGATATTAGGTTAGTAACTACAAACAAGAGCAGGTAAGTAACTACGTACGATATTAGGTGAGTAACTACAAACAAGTTCAAGTAAATAACTACATACGATATTAGGTTAGAAACTACAAACAAGAAGAGGTAAGTAACTACAAACAATAACATGTAAGTAACTACGTAAGATATTAGGTTAATAACTGCAAACAAGAACAGGTAAGTGACTACATACGATATTATGTGAGTAACTACAAACAAGATCAGGTAAGTAACTACCAACGAGAACAGGTAAGTAACAACAAACGAGAATAGGTAAGTAACTACGTGCGATATTAAGTTAGTAACAACAAACAAGAACAGGAAAGTAACTACATACGAGATTAGGTTAGTAACTACAAACGAGAACAGGTAAGTAACTACGTGCGATATTAGGTTAATAACTACAAACAAGAACAGGTAAGTAACTACGTGCGGTATTAGGTTAGTAACTACAAACAAGAACAGGTAAGTAACTACGTGCGTTATTAGGTGAGTAAATACGTACGATATTAAGTTAGTAACTATAAACAAGAACAGTTTAGTAACTACGCACAACATCTGTTTAACCACTACGCAAGCGAACAAGTTAGTCACTAAGCGCCCGATCAAGTTGGTCATTTGCTCGAGATCAGCTAAGTCAATACGTTTTAGAATTATATTAAAACAAAATAACCTTACGGAGCGTGTCTTTTTCTAAATACTACTTTTTCTTTTTTACAGGTCTCTACTCGTTTTACTTGTTGGAGTTGATTATGTCACTGATCAAAGGGGATTCTAGTCACGTATGTATCCATTCAGGCGTGCACCGGTTAAGTTCATGGCAAATGTAGCATAACTGTAATATTTCAATATTATTCACATATTTAAATTTGATTTATATTTGCGCTGTTTAAGCCGGATCTGTTTTCGTTTCTAGGATGTAGCCAGACTAATGGCTTGATTTATGATAAACGTTGATATCTGTACATTTTTAATGACGCGTATACGTCATACTACGTCGATCTTATCGACAATGCATCCCATTTCCCTCCATCCTTCACTTTATCGCTTGTGGGGATCATTTACTATTAATGTGAAAAGTGTTATTCACTGAACGAAATGAGAAGTGTAGAAGCTAGTCTTCCATTTAAGGGAGATAGATCAGTTTACTGAAACTGCACTGTAAGTCCTTATTGAAAGAATATACAAAGGACATCCCATTTCCGATCGCGACAAGTGATGACCATATGATTTCATAATGTATATGACGTTTCTTATAAGGTCAAATTTGATTGCATTTAACAGAGGCATACACAAAATTTATATTACTTTATTCGTTGATCATTGATAACGACTAACAAATGTCTCGAAAATCCGGTTTCCGTCCCCTACTCTAATAATAGAAAACAGATAGTCATACTGCTGATGCCGCCCAATCATATGATTGAGTAAAGGTGGTCTCAGTCTCCTAGGTGAAGGGTGGCGTATACAGTCGATATATGTAAACACATATGTCAATAAAGAGACTTTTCACTGAAGTTATCCAGCATATAAATATATACTAAGTAACTATTTCACACATAGTATTTGATAGGTTAACGCGTTTATAACGTTTATAACGAAGTATTTCTTTTAGTAAAATCGAGTTTGTGTATGCGATTTGAAAGTCTTTACACAGAGATAAATAAGCTGAAATGCTATAATATTTCATATCGATGCTCTATTTGATTGTTTTAAGGTATTGACCATACGTCAATCAAACATATACCTTTATTTTCACAGAACCATGGTCATTCAGATATGCAACCTGATATGGAGATGGGAAAACATAAGGTTAGTTGGATTTGTTTGAAGACGAATGTGTGAGCTGGGGAATAATATTGTACCGTTAAACAATGTACCGTATAGCCGGATATTTCCGCGGGGATGATATTTTACGCGGGGATGATATTTTCCCCGGGGATGGTATTTTCGTAATTTCGCGGGTCAATAATTTGATTGCAAAAATATATTTCGCAGAATAATATGACAAACGTAAATATGAGCTGTGAAGATAAACTTCATAACGGTATTGTCGCCATGAAATAGCGCGCATATGCTTGTGACGATTTATATACATAAAGAGTATTGATGTTTGAAAATAGGTTTTATCACACATCTAATAGTTTTGTTGAGGATTTATTTAACAAAATACGCTTAATTACTTGTTTCTCAGTTTATGTTAAAAAGCGTATTCATTTGACACTTTATATGCCAAGTGTTCCGTCTCTGTACTAAAACACCGCGAAAATTTAGTTGTTTACAAGTCTAGATCGCGAAAGTATAATCTGTGTAAATAAAAGTTTCTAATTTAGGGTCAAAATCACGTAAATTGAAGCCCGCGTAAATAACCCATTATACGGTACATTTTGTGTTGGTGAGGATGTTAAAGCATACATAATTTGTTACTGGGGAACTTAAAGAGGTATGAAAGCAGATTGGGAAAGTTTGTAAATTTTGTAATTTTGTACCTTGAAATTCTGTATGTATTGAATGAGTAGAAATGAATATGGTACATTTGAGCAATGTAGGTTATTTGTGCGTGGAAAAGGGCAAATGTAAATGTTAGTTATTTGTGAGAGGAGAAGAATATTGTATTTGGAAACGAGGTCAGTATTTGTTAGTTGGGAAGAAAATTGTATATTAATAAATAACCTCTACTTTATTTTCATAAGTGACTCGGAATTTTTACCCAAACCCGGGGAACCAGAAATTTGCTATATCCTTCATGACCATGCGTTGGTTGTATAATACTAGTTAATATGTAAATGAAAAGGAATATTGTACATTAATCAAGGGTTTCAGGTGTTAGAGAAGAATCAGTAATGCAAATTTAAATCCAATTCAACTTTGTACTCACACAAAAAAAACTGCCTTTCCTTTTGTTGTGGTGTCTTCTCTTTCTTAACGTTCCCTTTCTGTTTTGAAATTCGATTTTGATTGACGATGGGACCGTGTTGTCATGCGTATTGACGATATGTTACTTTTATCCTTTGAATTGGCGGTATGGTACTGTTTTCCACGTTGCTTGCATTTCGAGGACATAATCACATACATATTTTATTTGCTTCCCTTTTTAGGGAAAAGTATAACTTTGTGATGTGATAGCTAACTACATGTACTTTCAAAATGAACAGCCTTTCAATTGTTTTTACAGATAAAGAACGGTTATGATTTTTCTTCAAAATCCGCTCTGTACACAGTTGGTGAGAGTAACGGTACTCTGCAGATGAACGACATCAGGGAGAAGAAAGGTGAGTAATCTCTTTCTATTCTTTTCTCGTAGTTTTAATTCAACAAATTCACGACTACCCATATTCTTTAGACAATACTATAGGATATATTAAATGCTGTTCCGGACAATCTGTTCGCCAAAGTATTACATAGAAAACTATAAATAGAAATTGCTATGGAGCAATTTGATATGTTCTCACAACACACTTTCTAATGCATGTCATGGCATTAATATCGGCCAGTGATAATTTTATGATTTTCTCAAGTTTGTATCAAAAGATGAGAGTGACACATAAAACATTTAATTGAGATGAAGATAATTAGTGTTTGCTACATAAGCAAATAGGAACTCCAGGCAGAAATCTTTGATTTCGAAAAATAACAACACTTGACAAGGGTCGTGCAAGGAAACATGTAAAAAAACAACAATGGTTGAAATCGACTCGCTAGCATTTAAAATAAGTAGAAATCAGCCAAGCTGGGCGTTGCGAGGACGTTCAGCTGTCAAGGTGGTCATCTTGGAAATTGCATTCCGTCTTGTCGGTCATCCGTCAGTCCGTTTGTTATTCCTCGTATCACTTAGTACGGGGCGTATCTTACATACCTATCACCTGCATATAAAGTGTTGCGTACGGGTTCCTCGTCTCGTACTCCACTACGGTATATACATTATGAGGATTCATTGTTTATTTTTTATAGTGAGGTTTTTCCAAATATGGAGGAAAAATAATTGCTCAAAAATGCATTTTGTTGTTTTTGCATAATATGGTAAAAATCTAGTGGTAGAATTTGACAAAAATATGGCTGAAAATTGGAGTCTGAAGTGTCTATTATTTGATACTCAGGAGAACTTTCTTGTATCTCGTCGACATATCTGAAATTGAAGTGGAAAGACTTGTCAAGGACCTTGATACCAGTTGTGATATACCTTTTAATATATTAGGCTTATTTTGAAAACAAACATATCAAAAGGAACCCAGCTAGGTGAGGGTCACTTACATGGGAATCCCAACAGTCTGCTGGAAGTAATGCGACATATACATTAGGATGGCATCGGTCCAAGGTTTTGTTGAGAGTTTGTTTACCTGCATTTCAGATTTAACATTCCCCACTGGTTTTAAATCGTGTTTCTTCTCTGTGTATATTTACGTGTTACTGACACTCAAACTTTGAAGAAAAAACACGCATCAGAATTCTCTTGGATCTTATTTCATTACATAACAAAACAAAATTTTAAACATGACACGCCTTCAAATGTTCGTCAACCCATGATGTCTTACGTTAAGAGCTCTATGTACAACCATGTAAGTAATTTGAATGGCGTTTGAATAGAAAAAACAACCGAAAAGGTTTGTTATAAATCGCAGTCACATTTTCGCACTTAAACACTGGAACATGCTAATTGATCAGAGTGATAAGCAACAAAATGTATATAATGAAAGTTTGACGACATTCAGCTTGGTAGAACTAGGAACAAAATATTGTTTTAATTCAGTACCTTTAATAATCAATAATATATCGGCCAAAATTGATCTTTTAACAATAATTCGCTAAAAATAGTCCTTTACAATACTATAATATAAATATGTTTCAAGATAGTAAACTAGATTTTGCGTTTTTCGTTATTTTAAACCAGAGGCCTTGACTGCAACCTTGCTTTGTCCTTCAAAAACAATAGGTAAAGAGATTTTTGACATTGGTAAGAAGTATTGACAAACATTCTAAAGTGGACATATGAACACAGGAACAGATGCGTAACTAAATCCTCACCCAACTCTGTTACCAGTGTATTTTACAACTGCACGTACCTATTCACACTTCTGATATGGTTAGAGTTAAGATTGTGTTACTTTTAATTAAAAGAAAACGGTCCCTTTATACCAAGTATCTATATCTACCCTTTCAAATATCCTTCAAAATATTTGCTGCTCTATTTTAAAGAGCTCTATATGTTAGATCTGACTGATGGATTGAAGAAAATTAGGTGTCATATGTTTTCCATCTCTTACATACATGTAGACAGAACTCCTGTCAAATGATGGATACCTCATATGGTTAATGTGATTAATCGTACTTTGTTAAAAGTGCAATCCTATTATATGATAATGATTTATTTTTTCTTATTGTTTTTTCCCCATTTTCATTGGTGATTAACCGTCAAAGTACATAATGTCAGAATGGTGTTTGACTTCGGTATTTCAGACTTTGTCATTTAGTTATTTTAATTGTTTTAAATATGAATATGCTAATTTTGTCCGTTCTTGGGTTTTGACTGTGATCAATAGTTTAGGTTTTGATTTGATACTTTGAAATTTTTATTTTTCGACGTGGCCATGCGTAAATTATTTGTTTCTTCAAAAATATCTGAAAGTGGAAAGACTATTTATTGTTATGATACAAGTCATGAAAAGCTCTTAACAAAATTAAGCTTACTATGAAAACAAAAATACAAAACAAATGGAACCCAGCTACATTTTTTTAAATGCCTAAAATAAACAATATGTGTTTAATGTGACGTGTTATTCTGATATTCTGTATACATATTGTTCTTTCTCCAGGCTGGTCATCTGTTGTCATCATGGTTCTGGTTGGTGACTCGATCCACAACTTCGCTGATGGCCTTGCCATTGGTGCAGCCTTCACGCAATCCGGGTCGGTGGGCGTGGCCACCACTATTGCTGTCTTCTGTCACGAACTGCCTCATGAGCTAGGTAAGTTAAATCAAATTCACTACCGTGTAGTGACCATCACTTTGACAATTTTGAAAGCGTTCAGCTTCGCCCGGCTCAATGCATGTGTTATTATAATATATTCATGGCTATATGAAAGACTCAATCTTAATCAGTATGGATGCCTCGAACAGTTTTATAAGAGTATCACATTATCCACGAAACTTGTCATATCATCTTTTTAAACAGTTTAAATGGTCGCAAATGTTGAAATTTGCCTTTATTATCTGCTCTTCAAATCATTTCTTCACAATAACATAAATAAAAATATATCAATACCGAAAAAAGCTTCACGTAAATGCGTTTGTCAGATCGAACAAATTTTACTATATGCCTTACACTTGCTCATGACTATAATGTGCTTAAACTTTAGGAGACTTTGCTATCTTGCTGAATGGGGGTGTGTCAAAGAAAAAAGCGCTATGCCTGAACTTCCTGTCTGCACTCACAGCATTCATTGGTCTGTATGTGGGCGTGTCTATCGCCACAGAAAACGTTGTTAGACAGTGGATCTTCGCCGTCACAGCCGGGCTCTTTCTTTACATCTCCCTTGTAGACATGGTAAGTGTTACTATCCCATCGACAGCTACATGTCAAAGCATCGTGATATTTATAGCGGTATATAACTTCTAATGCCCAAGTAGTTCTTTTTAATAAATCTAATTATAAACATATGTCTAGTTCTACTGGTACATTTCATTTAAAAGGCGATAGACTGCCGTGGTAGAAAAACAAATATAAATATCTGTTCTTGGAAATGTGTGTATATTTGCATAAGATCAGTAGTTTCTATCATACACGTAGGGGTCACTCTTTGTTTCAAATGTCTCGTGTCACTGTATTTTAGATTCCGGAAATGATATCAGGGGCCGTCAAAGCCAAGAAGAAGCTGTTCTTTGTTGCCATGACCAACTGTGGATTCTTCATCGGAGTTCTCATTCTAGTGCTTCTCTCTATCTTCGAACACAAGATAAATATCACATAAACAACCTTACTGTATCGTGGTTTGTAAAACTTTTTGGATTGAAATAAGTAAAGAAGCTTCTTTTACGACTGTGAATATCGCGTTAACCTCACACGAGTATAACACCGTTGGTTAATGCTAACTATAAGTGAAAGGGGCGATAACTCTTGGTGACAACTGTTTTACTTTTTAAGAACTACCTTGTTTTCAACAATGAACACTGTTGTTGCTTTTTTTTACCTGACCAATATCTTAACAAAACTAAGCTTTATTATTCTTTTTATGTATATATTATAAAATGGCTACTTATTTGAAGGGTCAATATTTTACTCTTAAAGGTTTGTGATTTTTTTGTTAATGCACTGACTTAACGATATATTACAAAAGACTTTGTGTGTTAATCCGAGCCTTGTATTGGTACGTACATGAACACTCCGAGGCCTTACTCTTCGGCATGTGTTAAAGTTATTTATGGTTTCAAATTTTTGCTTTATAAAAACGCAAAGTGGTAAATGTCTGTCATTAAATAAGCTTACGAGAGTGTCATACAGCTACACATTGTATTGGAGACAAATCATTTATGCCGATAAGAAATCCATTCATATGAGAAAGAATGGGGGAATGTGTAAAACGCGCCGGACCAACACAAGTTTTAACCATATTTAAAATAAAACATTCGTGTATAAACTTTATTATTTTTTGGAAGTGTGCAAGCATAGCGCATTCAGCAATGTATTTGTGTTCTAGAATAGTAATGAGAGTCCATTTATTATTGTTGGTAAGTGGGGTGTGAGCAAGCAGGGAGTGGTGATTGTGGAACAATGTATTATATGTTCATATGTTATTAGTTTATAGGATTACATGGTGCATATACATACTGTAGAATCTGTCCAATCTGGCCTTAGATTTAAATGTGGCCTTGTATTGACACTGACACTATAGACCACTTCACATTATTTTTTAAATGGAACATGCATAACCGGAACTCAGTCTTTACTAAATAGCGGTCCCGGCGGTGTTTGGTGACCACAGGTTCCAGTTTGTTTATGTTCACCCAAGTGCTTCCATCATTGAAATTGTTCACTTTCAGATGTGTTAATTGTAGATGTACTTTTATGATAAATACGTTATAAAATAAATTTCTCTTGTTCTTCGTTTATTATTTTCTAACACTATGGTTGTAAAGATAACTGGCTTAAATATCTTCATATTTGTGCAACACATTTGTATATTGCGTCTGGTTGGTATGAAATGTTTTCTGTCCCATTCCGTAAACAAAAATATTACTTAGACTAATGCACTAATAGTGCATTGCATAGGCCTAATATGCATTAACATAAGCGTTACGCAGTCCACGCCTACCATCACGTAGTCCACGCCTACCATCACGTAGCCAACGCCTACCATCACGTAGTCCACGCCTACCATCACGTACTCCACGCCTACCATCACGTAGTCAACGCCTACCATCACGTAGTCCACGCCTACCATCACATAGGAGTTCTCAGACTGAGGCAGAGAACTCAAAAGTTGTCACAGTAAAATGAAGGGTTTCTTTGAATACTTAGGTGTTATAGAAAACTTTGTATGACAGTGAATGATATGCACACATTTGTCGTAGTATGCATGTCTGTGTACTGGGACAGTCTATAAATTGTATTTTTGTCAGTGGTTTATATCACTTCGGTTTGAAAGTAATATACCGTAACCTACAATATACATAAAAAGTAAACATTATATACTTATTACATAATTTCGTCCATGTTCTACTCCTATTGTATTGTAACAACAGCATTCCTTAGCGCCATTACATCTGTTGACAATAAAAAGATAATTAAGTAAGTCCCAAGAAATGTTTCTTGCAAATGGTGTTCCATAAAAAGGACATGGCCCCTTAACTCATGTTAAATAAAGATAAAGAAATGAAAATTCTCACATGTGTTACAAATATTTAAAAACACTTTTCAATTAATTTGCCATAGAAATGTGATTAATATTTCACGCACCAATAAAACATGAGAACACTTAATCTCCGTCTTCCTTTCGTCTTCCTCATACGTACGTTTTTATGGGTAGATTTAATGAATGCTAATAATACACTTTATAGTGACATAATGTTTAATTACAAATACATTATGTAACAACATATCATCTACCTACGAACAATTACATTATATAACGGCATATAGTTTAATTACAAACATACATCATGAACGACAAACTCTCGTTTTACATACATATGCATAATGTTACGACATATATTCTAATTACAAACAAACACATTATGTTACAGCATATTCTATAATCATCAACAAACACGTTATGTAACGACATATTCTGTAATTACAATCAAACACATTATGTAACAAGTTGTTTTCTAATTCCAAACAAAAACATGATGTAACGACATATTTGCTAATTACAAACGAAATCATTATGTTACTTTGTAACAAAATACAATCGAAAGCATAAGTAATATTATATTATTACAAACACATAAAGAAACGAATTATTATTTAATTACAAATACATTATGTAACAACACATTCCCTAATTATACACACATTATGTAACAACACATTCCCTAATTATAAACACATTATGTAACAAAACATTCCCTATTTATACACACATTATGTAACAACACATTCCCTAATTATAAACACATTATGTAACAACACATTCCCTAATTATAAACATATTATGTAACAACACATTCCCTAATTATAAACACATTATGTAAAAACACATTGCCTC